AATACAGTGTCCAAGGAGGAACCAGAGTGCCCCCAGAGGCCCACGTGTTGAAGGCTTGGTCCTCAGCCTGTGGCACTATTGAGTAGCAGTGGGACATTTAGGAGGGGAGGTGCTAGGGGGGAGAAAATTAATTCACTAGGAGCCATGCCCCTGAAGGGAATATAGTCAGCCATGATGCCAAGCCCTTAATCCTCACCAAGAGGTGGAGACTGACGGTAGAGCAGCTGGAACATGGTTGGCAAGAACAGGCCTTGGCAATACAGAGCCAGCCATGCCAGGAAGGGCCTGGGGAGCTGAGAGCAGGGCACAGTCACTAGTTACCTGGTGGTGGCCTGGCTTGGCCTGTTGAGCAGTGAGAAAATGGAAGTGGGGACAGACCCGAATGGAGATCACAAGGCTAACTTATCAAGGACAATTTCCAAAACCTGATTAGCATAAATTTGAATCTGTTTCTTTCTTTCTTTATTTTTTTATTTATTTTTTTTGAGGAATGGCACTGGGGATTGAAATCAGGGGCACTTGACCACTGAGCCACACCCCAGCCCTATTTTGTATTTTATTTAGAGACAGGGTCTCCCTGAGTTGCTTAGGGCCTCACTAAGTTGCTGAGGCTGGCTTTGAACTCATGATCCTCCTGCCTTAGTCTCCCAAGCCTCTGGGATTATAGGCATGTGTCACTGTGCCCAGCTTGATTAGCATAAATTTGGACTAATAGGGTTCATACTTTTCCAAAACCTGATTAATGTGCATTTGGACCAACAGTGTTGACCCAAGAGCTTTATAAACCCCTCGACTGGCCCATTCAAGCAGCCACCTCTATTGGTTTCCTGCTCACCCACTACAGTTCTTTTTCTTTCTACAAATTTTTTTTTAGTTGAAGATGGACACAATAACTTTATTTTATTTATTTATTTTTATGTGGTGCTGAGAATCCAACCCAGTGCCTCACACATGCCAGATGAGCGCGCTACCACTGAGCCACAACCCCAGCCCTCTTTTTCTTCTTCACACTTGAACAAATCCTACTTTTCCACTCACTCATCCTTGTCTGCGGATTTCCTCTTTGAATTTGTGGGACAAGAAACCAGAAAGAAATAGGCAGTGAGCTGTTGGGGTCTGTGACAATACTGGAGGGCATAGCCTGCCAGTAAGAGCTACAACCTGCCACTCTCCGGCTTTGCCATCTGTGACCCTTGGAAATGGCAATGACAGACATTCCCTGCTTTGATTAGTTGATAACACTAAAACAGACTTTCTTGGCTGCAGAGGCCTGTAATTTACTCAGACCCCACCTGCCAACAGAAGTGGAGAATCTAGTTTCATCTCAAACTCCAATTTCACCAGGCCTCTTATCTTTCTGTGAGTAGTCCTCCTTCACCACATGCTTGTGCCATGATGTACTGGGCCACCATCTGGCCAAAGCAACAGGGCCAAGCAGACATAGACTGACATCTCTAAAACCACGAGACAAAGAAAACCCTCATAAATTGATGGTCTCTGGTCTGTTGTTACAGTAATGGAAAACTGACCTTAACAGGGACTATGGGATGGGTTACCCAGTATAGAATAGAGAATGTGAATTTGCCCAACAAAGGATAGAAGTCAAGGAATGTCCAGTGTAGAATAACCAACAGGCACATCCATTGTAGAATAGAGATGCTGAAAAAAATTAGTGGACAGAGTACAGGCATTTCCACTTATTCAAGAGGGGTGCATTCCAAGACCCTCAGTGCCTAAAAACTTGGATAATACCAAACCCTAGATAGTACATATATACCTATGATCAAGTTTAATTTATAAATTAGGCACAGTAAGAGGTGCAGAACAATAATAATAAAATAGAACAATTTTAGCAGTGTGCTATTATAAGTTATGTAAACATGGTCTTTTCTCACTCAAAATACATTATGCTACATGAATCCTTCTTGTGATGATGTGAGATGATATAATGCCTATGTCATGAGATGATGTAAGATGAATAACATGGAAATTGTAACATGGGGCTAGGTTACTATAAAAAGATTACTTGAACACAAGCACTGTGGAACCCAACAGTAGATCAGATAACAGATGGCCACTAAGTGACTAATGGGTGGGTAGCGTATACAGCATGGATACACTGGACAAAGAGAAGACTCACATTGGGGTGGGGAGAAGCATAATGAAACAGTTTAAAACTTCAGAATCTTTTAATTTTGTAATTTTCTATTTATATTCTCAGACTTCAGTGCACTGCAGATAATCAAAACTTCAAAAAGAAAAACTGCAGATGGGGGGGTGAGGATTATTGTAGTATTATGCTTAGAGTCCAACTAAAGTTTTCATCTATTTAGCATTTACAGGGTAGAGAAAATTAGTTCATCAAAGAGGGCTTAGGGTATCTCTCAGTGGTAAAGTATGGGCTTAGCCTTCATGAGGCCCTGAGTTCAATCCTCAGGACCCAAAGAAACAAATGTAAACAAAAGAACAGCAGACAGAATGATCAAGGAGAAAATGGTCCAGGTTGGGATGGAGTGGGACAGCTCTAGCTTTCATTATTTCACCCAGAACCAAGTGCAATTTAAAGCTTATGAATTATTTATTTCTGGAATTTTTCATTTAATATTTTCAGATCCCAGTTGACCTTGGGTAACTGAAACCAAAGAAGCAAAACCACAAATGTGGGGGGAAGGGTTGATGGTATACATGAAACTTCCAACACAGGACAGAGATGCTGAACAAACAGGGAAGACTAGATTTCATGTATCTTCCAATGTCGAACTGAAAGCATAGCACATCTGATGTAGAATAGAGAATGAGAAATGCTGGAAATGTAGAAAAGAGATGCTGAATAGACAACGAAGATCAGAGTATGTGGAAATTCCAGTGTAGACTAGACAAGAAAAAACGAAGGCTGGAATATATAGAATATCCAGCATATAAGAGAAGATGTTGGCTTTTGCTCTAAGATGGCAACCCTGGAGGGTTAGGCAGAGGAGGGATGTGGTCTGGCTTAGGTATTAACATGTGCTCTCAAGCAGCTCTGGAGAAAACAGCTGTGTGGGACGTAGGTGGGGAATGGAGGCTAGAGACCAGGGAAGAAGTGACTGGAGTAAGTGAAAGATGAATGAGATGGAGGCTGTGAAGGGGCCGAGGCCAAGTGAGACTGAGGTTACACTTGGAAGGTGGAGCCATCAGCCCCATTCAGGTGTGGGGTGAGGGAAGAGTTGACTCCATCTCCGGAATTTGTGGCTGGACAGGTGGAGATGGAGCTGCCACTTTTGCAATGGGGAAGCAGTGAAGGGGTGAGCCCAAGGGAAGATGTTGAAGTTTGTGGGGTCTGGGGGGCCTGTGAGGTTCCTGGGGACACCACACAGGAGTGCCAAGGGACACCTGGTCTCATGAGCCAATGCTCAGGGGAGAGGTCAGGCTGTGAGGTATAGATTTGAACTTTTCAGAACCTCAGTATCTGCATCAATGAAATGGAGGGACTTGTCCTACCACCCATGATGCTGGAGGCAGTGTATGAATCAATGCTCTCACCTCCAAACCTACCGCAAATGCCCACTTCTCCTTTCTTTGTCCCCCTTGCCTGGCACCCTCTTCCTCTTCTCTGATATTATCCCCAAATCCCAGCTTCCTTGCATCCTACTTGCATACCCAGATCTGTAATTTGAATGTGTCCCCTGTAAGAAAAAAAAAAGCACATGTTGGGTTGTTTTGTTTTGTACCAGGGACACTTTATCACTGAGCTACTTCCCCAGCCACTTTATATTTTATTTTTGAGACAAGGTCTTTCTAGGTTGCTTAGGGCCTTGCTAAATTGTTGAGGCTGGCCTTGAACTTGTGATCCTCCTGCTTCAGCTTGAGTTGCTGGGATTATAGGCATGCACCACTGCACTTGGCATGTGTTGGAAACTTAATTCCCAATGCAGTATTGCAAGGTGGGGCCTCACGGGAGATGTTTAGGTGACAAGCACTTCACTCTCATGAATGTATTAATGCTGATTATAAAAGGGCTTGAGAACTGGGAACAATGGACACACCTGTAATCCTAACTACTTGGGAGGCTGAGGTAGGAGGATTGCAAGTTTGTGGCCAATCTAGAACCTGTCTCAAAATGAAAAAAAATATGGAAATAGATAAAAGGGCTTGAGGCTTTGAGTTCAATTTCTTGGTCTTGTTCTCACCTTTGCCCTCTCTTGCCCTTCTACCTTCCATCATGGATGCTTCAGCAAGAGGCCCTCACCAGATGCAGCCCTTGAATCTTGGACATTCTGGTCTCCAGAATAGAAGAACTAGAAGCCCTTCCTTCTGAGCCATGAAAGAGACCATTAGATTCCTGAGGCTGACATTTGGTCCTTAATCCAGCCATTATGAATCTTACTTAGCTCTTGCATTTCCTATTATATGAGCCAAAAATTTCCCTGTTACTTGTCAGCCCTTTTGAGATGTATGTTTTGTGGAGCACAACTAGAGACCTGAATGAAAGAAATGAATAAGGCATTTGCTAGGTGAAAGGACTCTTGGAGGCACTACAATACAGGGGATATTTACAAAAGTCTGGCATAAGATAGCATGGTCAGTGGCCAGTTGTACTATAGGGCATACAATAGTTTGGGCGGCAAATTTAACTTTGGCAGTTTTACATTAGATTCAGGAATCTGAGTTTAATCTAAATACTTAAAAGTCTGGTTAGTGGGAACTACTGAATATTCTTGATCAAGGGAGTTCACCTTTAGAATTGTCCCTCACTGTCCCAACAGTGCAGGGATAAGTGAATGTTTTTACTGCAGACCTGCGACACAGGTGCAGGTGAAGAGACTGAGGTCGTTCATACTGGTGTGGTCTCCAACAGTCCGGACTAGGACAGTGATCTCACCTCAATCAGTGTATTGAACTACGACTTCCAGCCTGCAACGCGAGCGACCTCTCGTTCCTTCAGGATTTGCCGGTTCTGGGACTGCTGATTGGTTGCATGAGCTGCTCGTTAGACCACAGTCGGGCTCTGATTGGTCGAGTTTCTGCGGCGTGCCCAGAACCTCAAGCTTGTGGGTTCCCCAGCTGTGCTCCCCAAGGCAACATGGTGAGTGTCCCTTGGCGTGGTGGGCCCAGAGGTACCAAGTCCCGCTAAAGAGATCCAGGAACACACCGAGGGGACAGGATCCTTTGTGGAGATTGAGACTCCAAGGGCCGCTATCTTCTCTGAGGGCGCGGGTCTCACTGCCGGCCCTGGGAGTCAGCTGGGGCGGTACTGAGCGCCCCCGAATCCCTGAGCCCTCTGAGTGTTCTGGCAAGCCTCTGGGGGACGCTTTAGGGGCTTGGGTCCTGCCCAGGGGGAGTGGTCCCCAAGAGGGGCCTGGGGACCCGAGCATGTTCAGAGTCCCGCGAAGGTGGTCTGGGGTCCCACTGGAATCCACTCTGGGGACCGGAGTCTGCGAGGGAGTATGATCTGCGCAGACGGGCTCCCTCGGGGACCCCAGTGGCTATGTCAAGGGCTTGGGGAGCCCCCGAGAGGTGGGTCTGAGTGGCCTCAAGGCTGGCTAGGGTCTCAAAATCCAAGACAACACAGTTGGAATCCTTAGCTTCGGGCGGCTCTGGGTCCATCCCATTGAGTGTATGCTTTAAACTTGGCCCAGCATCTGTAGTCCAGGTTGGTGCCAGGAGGAGGGCGAGACCCCTGCGTCCCTAGCACAGAAGGGAAATGGGACTGGAGGGGCCTGGAGGGCGCCCTGGCCCTGTTTGGGGTATCCCTGAAGAGGGGCACTCTGGTGAGCCTGAAGGAGCATTGATGGAGGCGGGTGTGGGAAGTGGGGCGTGGTTCCTTGCCGGGGTGCTGGACGCTGGAGGAGGTGAAGTTAAGGGACTGGAATGGAGGGAGGTCGCTTTTAGTTTGTTAGTCTCATATTCGAGGGAAGGGCTTTGAGTAGGGGAGGGACATGGACTAGGAAGGCTCCAGAAGGTCCTTGGAGACTTCCGCAGAGCATTAACCGTGTTGACCCTATTGACCCCCAGAGACAGGGACTGCTGCAGGGTGGGGCTGTGAGAAACATCCCTGGCCAGACCTCCGAACTTAGTGAAGAGATGCGTGCCTCCTTGCCGTCTTCTCCCCTTCTTTCTGCCCCAGGTGCATTAGGATGCAACGTGAACCAGGGTCCCCTGTAGGAGGGTAGTGGGTCAGCTATGAAGAACCCTGGGGTCAGGGAGGGCCTGTGAGATCAAGTGGTTAGGTGCAGGGAGGCGCTGTGGATGAGGCGGGTTGGTTTCCAGATGGGTCCACCCTGCCTTGCATGCTGCATAGCGGAGTTGGGGAGTTGATTGTAAGACTGGCACTGCTGAAAGCAGGGTCCGCAGGAGTGATGGTAAGGTGACAGGCTCTCCAGGAGAGGATCTGGAGGAGACACTGATCTTTGAGCTCAGCAGAAAGGTTTGGTCTGGAGGTGCCCCTGAATGGGGGTCTTGCTGGGCAAGGGCTATGGTTAAAACCCTAGTTTGGGGGCTGGGGTTGTGGCTCAGTGGTAGAGCGCTTGCCTAGGACAGGTGAGGCCCTGGGTTCGATCCTTAGCACCACATTAAAAATAAGTAAATAAAATAAAGGTATTGTGTCCAACTACAAATAAAAAAATATTAAAAAAAAACCCTAGTTTGGGGTCACAGGGGAGTGAGGCAAAGAAGAAAAGATGGCTGGGGTCTCCCCAAAGCCCTAATGTTTAGACAGCATTCGGTGGGAGGTACTTGGGGCGGGGGGGGGGGGGGGAGCTGGAAGGAGCGGGGAAGGGGTTCTAGGAAGGGCTGAGGGGCTGGAGAGGTCTGGCCCACCGGGTTGAGAGCATGCGGTGGACCTGCACTTATGGTCACTGGAATAGGTGGGAGTGTGAGCAATAAGGATTTGTAGACTAGGAAAATGTAAAAAAGGTTTCGGGCTGGGGTTGTGTTTCAGTGGTAGAGCACTTGCCTAGCATGTGTGAAGCACTGGGTTCAATTCTCAGCACTGCATATAAATAAATAAAATAAAGATCCATTGACACTAAAAAATATTTTTTAAACAAGTTTACCTGTGATGGAGAATATGACTATGTGATGGAGAATATGACTATTCAATTGTTTTATTTTAAATTTTATTTATTTTTAAAACTTGGTGCAAGGATTGAAATCAGGGTTTTACTCAGCTCAGGCTCTAACACTGAACTACACCCCTAGACCCAAGTTGGTTATTTATTTATTTTAACTAATTAATTTTTTTGCAGTGCAGGAGATCAAACTCAGGACATCACACATGCTAGACTAAGTTGGTTATTATGATGGATTTCTCAGCAGTCTTTCTGAATGATTGCTAGACCTGGTATTCCCCACACTAGAGTTTTCCCTATTAAATTCAGCTTCCTTTTCTGAGATCATGGTGGGTAGAGAACGAAAACTAAATTTAGCTTATTTTTATCTGATCAAATGATTATTTTTAATAATCAATTAGTTTTTTTAAAAATAATTTTAATATTTATTTTTTAGTTTTCGGCAGGCACAACATCTTTGTTTGTATGTGATGCTGAGGATCGAACCCGGGCTGCACGCATGCCAGGCGAGGGCGCTACCACTTGAGCCACATCCCCAGCCCATCAATTAGTTTTAATATTAAGGCATCTTTATTTTATTTTAGATGTTGGTTATACCAGAATGCTAGTAGTCAGCTCTCCAGAGCACATAATTTTATATAATTACATAATTACTGATAGCAAATTAGTATTTACTGTATTCAAGGAGGAAAACTCAGCTTCAGAGTGATAGGTACAGGAAAACATGTTTGGATTATGCTTAAAAGGTTGTCATTTAGAACATAGTAAGAAAATTCCTAATTTCAAAAAATAATAAAAAAATTTTTAAAATAAAATATTTTAAAAATTCAAAGGTGGTGGTAACTCAGTGGTACAGCCTGCCTAGCAGCATGTATGAGGCCCAGTGTCTGAGGCCTTAGGTTCCACTCCACCCCCCACCCCAATGAACCCAGAGGTACTCTACCATTGAGCTACATCCCCAGCCCTTTTTATTTTTTATTTTATTTGGAGACAGGGTCTCACCAAGTTGCTGAGGCTGGCCTGGAATTTGCTGTCCTCCCACCTCAGCCTCTGGAGTTGCTGGGATTATGGGCGCACCTGGCAGTATGTTATAAAAATATATATGGACATGCATATTTCTGCCACTTAAACACATAACTTAAGCAGTAACCAGAAGTGTAGAAGGCTTTCCAAGGAGGTTGATTACAAAGGGAGGGAGAGGAAGCAAGGGCGCTCGGTCCGTCAGGGGTGGTTTAAGGTGAAGAGACATAGAGACACCGTTGGTGCCTAGCTGGGAGCCCAGAAGGTGGTGGAAGAGGAGCCCCTTAAGGTCGTGAGGAATAATATATGAAGCAAAATTGGAAGTACTCCATTTCCACAGGAGCAAATGGACTCAGAGAGATTAATACCTGAAATTCATAGCAGGGGCCGAAGGCAAACCCTGAGCCAATCCACCTTCCCACCAGTGCAGCCAGGGCACTGTGGGGGTGGGGCTGTCTGCACTCAGCAGAAGCTTCCCAAGGTTGAATCTGGGCGCATCCCAGTCCTTTCCCCAAGATGCCACCTGAGCCAGGCCTCTTGCCTGGCTTTCCTATAAATAGCCTGCATTCCCTGGGAGGGAGCTTGTGACCTTCTGGCAAGCACTATCCATCATGTCCCCTCCCCCCAGGCAGTCCTCGGAGTGCAGCTGGTGGTGACCCTGCTCACAGCCACTCTCATGCACAGACTGGCACCACACTGCTCCTTCGCACGCTGGCTGCTCTGCAATGGCAGGTGAGCCCCACCCGGCACCCAGATGTAGAAGGAGCCCATAGGGTCGTGCCCCCTCTGGGTCCCCAAGCCCAGACTTTATATTCCACTGTGTTTTTTGAGGTGAAAGGTAACAGCTTTATTGAAGTACATCTGAAGTACAAGGAACAGTGCTGCTGTATCCATTCTGACAGATGGGTACACTGAGAAGCCATTGCCACACCCCACGTCTCCTCTCCTTCTACCTTCCTATAATACAGCCTTCTTTTTCCCTGAGATTAGAGTCTCTAATCCTTTCTGAGAATCTGGTGGAAGCTAAATTATCTCCCTGGAGTTAACCTGTGGATTCAGGGTGTCCAGGACCACCAGGTTCACTGGGCCTGGATCTGTTATGGCACCTCAGTCTGTCCCTCACCCTCTTCTGGGAAGAGCCTTTCCCTAGACCACGCCCACCCAGCCCTACAACTCTGCTCTCTGGTTTTGGGACTCTCTGCCCCAGTCTCCCCTTGCTGGAGCTTTCCTGACTGCCTCTCTGCTCTCAGTCTGTTCCGATACAAGCACCCATCAGAAGAAGAGCTTCGGGCCCTGGCTGGGAAGCAGAAGCCCAGAGGCAGAAAGGAGCGGTGAGTGAACCCATCCCCATGGTGCCCCAGCCCTGGGCAGTGGCTCCTGCCCATAGCTTCTGGCTGTGGGGACACAGGACCTCCTCCCACACTTCCAGGTACCACTATGGACACAGGTAAATCAATGGACCACAGCCTGGGGACAGGGTCATGGTCAACGTTGAATATTTATTAACATTTTTGCTCTTGGCCAACCCTGTGGGTAGGAGGGTCCCCCACCCTGATGTGCAGAGAGGACCCAAGTTGGAGGCTTCTTCTGAGTTCTGAGGGTGGCATGGTAGAGCCTTTCAGGGGCCGTGTGGGATGCCACTCTCTCCTGCCCTTTGCTCCCTTCTTTGTCTCCCTGTCCCCAGGTGGACCAATGGCCTTAGTGAGGATAAGCCATTATTGGTGCCCCGAGATGCCCCATTCCAGCTGGAGACCTGCCCGCTCACCGCTGTGGATGCCTTAGGTAAGAGCCCAGTCCTGGTCCCCAAACCTCTGGCCTCATGGGTCACCCCCCCAAAGGGGTGTTGGGAGGGGGACTACCTGGCTGGGCTGAGCCTAGTCTCCCCACAGTCCTGCGCTTCTTCCTGGAGTACCAGTGGTTCGTGGACTTTGCGGTGTACTCGGGCGGAGTGTACCTCTTCACGGAGGCCTACTATTACCTGCTGGGCCCAGCCAAGGAGACCAACATCGCTGTGTTCTGGTGCCTGCTCACTGTGGCCTTCTCCATGTATCCTTCCTCCCAGTTCCCAGGGTGGGGCAGGAAGGGGGCATGTGGGAGCAGGACCTGAGCTTCTCTGTTCCCGAAAATTAGTATGTCCATGATTACCTGCTGTGCCATAAACATCCCCCAAATTCAGTGACATAGAGCAGCCACCTTGTGCTGTGGTAATTCCCATCTCGCTCCATAGGCTTTACCTGTACCCAAAGTGGTACCGCAGATATCAGGAAACCAGGGGGGACACTTTGCTTGAAGTTGGTACATTCTCATTCCAGAACTTTCTACCATACTCTGTGTTAAAGCAAGTCACCAGGCCAGCTCCATTCTGCAAAGTTTGTATGAAGCTTCATAGAGAGCAAACATGGAGACCCAAATCTGAGAAAGTACAGAGGGAATATCACTCAGTGGAGGGGGCTGTGGAGACAGAAACTAGTCTTGGAACCCAAACTGGTTCCGAATATCCCCCTGGGTTGCTATGAGGACAGGCATCCCTCATAACTCTGAGCTTTTCCAAGGGATATGGATGCCCCCGCTAGTAAGGATGGGTAAAGGAGGCAGGGTCACCTGGAGGGGGAACCGCACAGCCTTTGTGTGTGTGGTGCTGGGGATGGAACCAGGGCTTCCTGCATGCTCGGCAAGTGCTCTACTACTGAGCCGCACCCCCAACCATGTGCTGATCATTTCTAATTAGCTACAGGTAACTCCATAGTAAATGCTCCTGGCTGGTCTGTGACCCAGGTGGCAAGCTCCCTGCCACTCTTAAGGAGGATTTGTGGAGAGTTATTTGTGCTCTGGAGTTGGGGAACCCTGGCTGCAGTGGTGGGGCAGGGGTGCCAGCCCTGTTCAAAGCCGCCTTAGCTCCACCCCCCAGCAAGGTGTTCCTGACTGTCACCCGGTTGTACTTCAGTGCCGAGGGTGGTGGCGAGCGCTCTGTCTGCTTCACCTTCGCCTTCCTCTTCCTGATCCTGTCTATGTTGGTGCAGGTGGTCCGGGAGGAGACCCTTGAGCTGGGCCTGGAGCCAGGTAGGTATAGTCAGTGGGAGCGACTGCCTCTGTCACTCAACGGAAGCTGCCCAGCCGTGTATTTAGCTGGCTTGCCCGTCCAGCACTTCAAGGACTTCTAGGGCTGGAGAAGTCTCCACCAGCGACTGCAGAGGTTCATGAGCCTCACAGGCTTGCTCCTGAGTACCCCAGTAAACTTTGGGGACCAGAGGCTGTCCCCTCTCACTGTCTCTGATGGAAGCACCTGACTCTAGCCCTTCACATGAGTACTTACTTTTTTTTTTTTTTTTTTTTGCGTGTGTGGGGGTACCAGGGATTGAACTCAGGGGCACTCAAGCACTTAGCCATATCCCCAGCCCTACTTTGTCTTTTATTTAGAGAAAGGGTCTTGCTTAGCACCTCACATTTGCTGAGGCTGGCTTTGAACTCTTGATCCTCCTGGCTCAGCCACACAAGCCACTGGGATTACAGGCCCAGCTCCCAGCCCTTTGTTTATATTTTATCTTTTTGAGACAGCGTCTCACTAAGTTGCTGAGACTGGCTTTGAACTTAAAATCCTCCTGCCTCAGCCTCTCAAGCTGCTGGGATTACAGGCATGTGCCACTGGGCTTGGCTGTAGATTGTTCTTTGATGCTACATGCAGTGTAGGGTTTTTTCGTTTGTTTGTTTGTTGGGTTTTTTTTTTTTTTTTTTTGCAATACTGGAGATGGAACCTAGGACCTTGCACAGGTTAGGCAAGCATTCCACCACTGAGTTACATCCCTAGCTCTTTTTATTTATTTTGGGACAAAGGTCGCTTTGACCTGAAACTTTTGATCCTCCTGCCTCAGCCGCTGGTGTAACTGGGATTAGAGGTTTGTGTCACTGCCTGGCCTGCAATGTCATTTTTTAAAATATATGTATATATTTTTTTTTAGTTGTTAATGGACCTTTATTTTATTTATTTGTATGTGGTGCTGGGAATTGGACTCAGTGCCTCATGCATACTATTCTAGCGCGATACCACTGAGCCACGACTATCAGCTACAAAGAATTTCATTTTGTTGATGTTCTGTGATTGTTTAATCAGGACTCTAAAGCACTTGCCTACCATGTGTGAGGCCCTGGGTTCCTTATCGGCACCATACACACACAGAGAAGTGCATTTGGGGTTTTGATAATGTTGCGAATGCACATTGCCTTTCTGGATAAGATGTAGGAACATGCCTGGTACCCCACATCCTTGCCACGCTGATTCCCGATTCCATGAGCTTATTCATCTTGGGAGATCTGATGAATGAAAATACACATGAGGTTGAACAGTTTGTTATATGTTAAAGAGATACAGTAACGAGCTACCTACAACCTTTTGATCAACAGACCACATATATAATATTGGTCCCATAAGATTATATCACCTGGTAGTAACATGGAAGCCTTCTCAGTTTAGTAAGCACACTCCTCATGCAAACCCCAGGATAAAACCATCTAATAATGCATTTCTCAGAATGTACTCTCTGCTGATAAGCCACCCATGCCTGTTTTTGAAAAGATCTGAAATATCTGATATCCAGATATCCTGAAAAGGTCTGGTCAGTTTCTTATGCTTAGGTTATTATTATTATTATTATTATTATTATTATTATTATGTTGTTGTTGTTGTTGTTTTTGTTTTGGCAATGCTGGGGATGGAACCCAGGGCCTGGTGCTTGCTAGGCAAGCAGTTTACCACTGAGCCATACCCCCAGCCCTTGCCCAGTTTTATTTACTAGGTGTTGGTCCTTTATTTGACTTGAAGGAGTGTTTTTACTCTTTGATGGTGTCTTTGGGTGCACAAAACTTTTCCATTTTCGTGAAGTGAAATCTGTCTATATTTTCTTTTGTTGCCATGCCTCTTATGTCTTATCCAAGAATCCCTGAAAAACGCAATTTTATTAGGCTGTGTGTGTTCTTTTTACTCTCTTGTTGATTTGTAGGGTTTCCTTATTTATTCCAGATACTGATCCTTGGTAACATGTGTTGCACATACTTCATCGTATCAAATATGACACAGCACTGTTTCAAGAGTAGTGTAGATAGCTGTTGCTGGGACAAAATACCTGAGATAATCAACTTAAGGAGAGAAGCTTATTTTATTCTGATTCATGGTTTCAGTCCAATAGTCATTTGGCTGTTGTTGCTTTGGGCCTGTGATGAGCGAGACATCATGGCAGAAGCACGTGGTGGGAGAAAGCTGCTCACCTTGTGATGGCCCAGAAGCAAAGTCAGAGTCCCAATATCAGGTCAGGTCCCAATATCCCCTTTGAGGTCATGCCTCCAAAGAGCTAACTTCTTTATAGTAGGCCCACCTTCTTTTTTAAAAAAATATTTTTAGTTGTAGATGGACACAATACTTTTATTTTGTTTATTTAGTTTTTTTTATGTGGTGCTGGGGTTCGAACCCAGTGCTTCACATGTGCTAGGCAAGTGTTCTACCACTGAGCCCCAGCCCCCGCCCAGTAGGCCCATCATCTAAAGGTTCCACCATCTCCCAATAGCACCACAGGCTGGGCCCACGCCTTTAACATATAGGCCTTTGAGGAAACTTCCAGATCCAAATAATAAGAATGAGATACTTATAAAAGATCAGAAGGAGTTACTTAAACTGTTGCATGCTGGGCTGGGGATGTGGCTCAAGCGGTAGCGTGCTTGCCTGGCATGCGTGTGGCCCGGGTTCAATCCTCAGTACCACATGCAAAACAAAGATGTTGTGTCCGCCGAGAACTAAAAAAAAAATATATATATTAAAAAATAAATAAATAAATAAATAATAAACTGTTGCATGCCATCAGTTGTCATGAAATTGTATATCAATTTCATAGAAGTTAAAACGTGGAAAAGAATAATATCTTGGAGTTGATTAAATTTCCAATTTATGTTGTGTCTATATCCTCTATAGTGCTTCTTTCTCTTTTAAAATATTTTTTCCTCATAGATTTTATTTTGAAAAACTTCACAAATACAGAGAAACCAGACATGGTGGTGTATACCTCTAATCTCAGCCACTCAGGAGGCTGAGGCAGGAGAATCTCAAGTTCGAGGCCAGCCTAGGCAACATAGCGAGACCCTGTCTCAAAATAAACATTGAAAGGCCTGGGAATGTGGCTCAGTGGTAAAGCACCCCTGGTTTCAATCTCTAATACTGGGGTGGGGGTAGGGGGAAGAATTGTATTGTACTGAATTGTGGATCCTGTTTGTTTTCTTTTGTTCTTTCTGATTCTTGTCATTTTGTATAGCTAGGATCTCTGTAGTTTAGAGCAGTCATGGTGTACGTCTTCTTTTTTCTTTTTTTCTCCTGATTTCTCAGTTGAGTACTGTGTTAGTTAGCTTTGTATCTCTATGACAGATTACCCGAGAGAATCAACTTAAAAGGAGGAAAGATTTATTTTGGCTCATGGTTTTGGAGTTTTTAGTTCATGGTTGGTTGGCCTATTGCTTTTGGGCCTGTGGTGAAGCAGAACATTTATATATTTGCCCAATCTGTAGAAAATCTTGGGGCCTGAACTGAAAAATTTTTGGTCTAGGAGGTTTTGGTTTTCTTCTGTGGGAGCTTTTCATCCTCCTTCAGATTCCTGCTATGATCCAGGAAGCCTGGTCTTAACAGCCCCACCTCCTGACCCCAACTCAATCATGGGTATCTATCTGGTGTATTCTTTTATTTCTTGAAAGAAGCCCTGTAGAACTGGGACATAAAGCTGTCTTTGCAGGGCTAGAGATATAGCTCAGTGACACAATGCTTGCCTAGCGTTGGTCCAGGGTTTGATTCCCAGCACTACAGGAAAAGAAAGTTATTCTCATGCCTTCCCCAAGGCCTGGCCTCCACGGTGCACTCCTACTTGGGGAGCAAAAGAAAATCAGGGGGGAAAGCAGAGTGGGCTCATAGACTCTGGAATGCCCTGTGTTCCATCCTCTTTTCTTCCTCAGGCCTGGCCAGCATGACCCAGAACCTGGAGCCACTTCTGGAGAAGCAGGGCTGGGACTGGGCGTGAGTCCTGGAAGGGGGGGGGGGCAGGGGCAAGCTGGGAACCCAAAGGCTGGGTTTTGACTTGCAGTGGAGCCCCTCTGATCTGCTGTTCTCCCCAGGTTCCCTGTAGCCAAGCTGACCATCCGCGTGGCGCTGGCTGTGGTGGGCTCCGTGCTGGGTGCCTTCCTCACCTTCCCCGGCCTGCGGCTGGCCCAGACCCACCGCGATGCCCTGACCATGTCTGAGGATCGGCCCGTGTTGCAGTTATGTGAGGCACCTGGTGGGTGGGAGGGACTAGGGGACCTGGGGAAGAGGTTCGGGGGATGAAGGAATGCCCCGGCCTCACTTCCCTCCACCCTTTGTACCTGCCCCCCAGGTTCCTTCTGCACACCAGCTTCCTGTCTCCCCTCTTCATCCTGTGGCTCTGGACAAAGCCTATTGCTCGGGACTTCCTGCACCAGGCGCCCATTGGGGAAAAGCCCTTCTCCCTGTGCGTTGGGGGGGACTGAGAGAGAGAGGGCAGCTGGAGGAGCCGCTCTGAGGCCCAGGGAGGGGCAGGGGGAAGATCTGGGGTATGGGGAGTTGCCTCATTAGGCCCCCCTCCACCTTCACCACGCCCTCCGCAGGCTGTCAGACTCGGCCTTTGACTCCATGCGTCTCTGGGTGCTGGTGGTGCTGTGCCTGCTGAGACTGGCTGTCACCCGGCCCCACCTGCAGGCCTACCTGTGCCTGGCCAAGGCCCGCGTGGAGCAGCTGCGGAGAGAGGCTGGCCGTATTGAGGCCCGTGAGATCCAGCGGCGGGTAGGGAAGCCCCGGCAGGGAGGGAACCTGAGGTTCTGGGTCCCTTGGGGGTGGCGTCACCCTGAACAGGAAAGGCCCCTCCTATTGCAGTCACCAGTTTTACCTGTCCTCCAGGTGGTCAGGGTCTACTGCTATGTGACCGTGGTGAGCTTGCAGTACCTGACTCCGCTCATCCTCACCCTCAACTGCACCCTGCTGCTCAAGACCCTGGGTGAGAGGCCCTGGGTGGGGCAGGGGCGGGGCCTGGGCAGGGGCGGGACTGCTGATTGGTGGGGGCGGGGCCCAGACAGACCCCGCCTCTTTCTCCACCCATAACTTCCTCCACCCTCTGCACCCTTCTCTCACAGGTGGCTATTCCTGGGGCCTGGGCCCAGTCCCCACACTGTCGCTTGCCCAGACCCCAGCCAGCACTGTCCCTGTGAGCCCTGGGGAGGACGAGGCCCAGCAGACGGCGGCCCGGATCGCGGGGGCCGTGGGCGGCCTGCTCACCCCGCTCTTCCTCCGCGGCCTTCTGACCTACCTGATCTGGTGGACGGCCGCCTGCCAGCTGCTCGCCAGTCTCTTCGGCCTCTACTTTCACCAGCAGCTGGCGGGCTCCTAGCCGCCCGCGGACTTCCCTGGACCTCTGAAGTTGGGTCCGGGGCCAACCGGACATGGCCTGACCCTCCGTGTGTGCCTCAGTGTCCCCAGCTGCCAGGTGCAACTGGGACTCCCCACAATCTCTGCAGTGCCTGGGCTGTAGCCCGCTGAGAACCCTCGAAAACTGGCTCCCCAGGGTCCTGGGGCAGGAGAGTTGGAACCCATTGTCCCCAAGTGGGGTGTGTGTGTGTGTGTGTGTGCGCGCGCGCGTGCGCACACATGTGCAGGGTTCGAGTGGTGGGTTGCTCTTATGAATAAATAAAGGAGTGGGCCACTTTGTACAAACAGGACACATGGTTGGGGAGCTGGGTGTGCAGGGTGATGGCTTCCTGTGAGGCCACATGGTGCCCATCTGGGTGGAGTCACGCAGGAGGCAGTTTCCAGAGGCCTCCCAGGCCAGCTGAAGAAGGGCAGGGAAGGGCCCTGGGGCTGGTACAGCTAGTGCCAGGCCTTGGGTTCCATCCCAGCTCCACAAGGAGAGAGCTGGAGGGAGTCACAGCTGTGAGGAAGGTGGCAGGGAAGGGAAAGAGGAGAGGGACCCAAGGACATGGAGAGAAGTCTCAGAAGAGGAGGAATGCTCAGGAGAGCGAGGAGGGGGAAGGGACTGGAGGGAGGAGGTCCCTGGTGCTGCCACTGCCTTCCACAGCTACACGGGTGACTACTTTCATATAAAGGTCACCCATAGGCAAGCAGGGACATTGTAAGGCCATGCTGACCCAGGGGAAAGGACATGGGGCCATACTGTGACTTTGAGGGAGGGACCTGGGGTGTGCACACTTGTGTATTATAACACGTGGATTCTGAAGCCTCTCTGTATATGTAAAAAGTGAATTAGGAATAAAAAAAAGTCCACCATTTCCTTCTCCAGAGTGACCTAGTGATCGGCTGGTGGCCCCCAGGGCTTAGTGATCGGCTCTTAGTGGGTCCCTCATGGCTCTGCCAACGTGCCAAGCACACCCACCTCAGACCCTGTGGAGCATTCCTGCGCTGGGGCCACCTGCCTGTTCACAGCCTCCGGGCTCCATTACCTGCATCAGGACTGCCACCTGAAGGGAGAAGCCACTCCCCAGCTTGTCCTGCTGATTTGCCACCAAAAGGGGGCATCATGCCCTGAGGAAAGTGACATCATCCCTAGGGATCCTTGAGAGGTGCTGACATGCTGTTGTTCCCAGAACAGGACCTGAGAGGAGCAGGGAACACTGCTGTCCTCCAAAATCTGATGACATAACACTGGAAAAGTTTCGAATTTTGGAGCACTTTAGATTTTGTGAATAGGGAGGCTCACCCAGTGCAGATCTATGCAAATGTCCCCAAATCCCAAAGATTCTGAGATCTGAAACACTTCTGCTCTTGAGCATTTTGGATAAGGGAAAGCTGGGTGTGGGGGAGGGGAAGAGGAGGAGGGGCAGGATCCCTGTGGAACTTGAGTGCATCTTCCTCCCCTCCCAGAGCTGGTGTCTGGGCTGCGTGCACAGAATGACCGGGACAGGGAGGGAGCAACCGCAAGGGGCAGATGTGCCTCCTGGCTGCAGATCACCAAAGAGGCAAACTAAAACTAACACATCCCCCAACCTGCAGATGACACGATGTGTAAGCCAGGGGGTCACACAAGCCCTGATCACTTCCCGTGGGCGCCCGCGTGAATCCCACCACTCTAGAGAGCTGACCCCATGGAAGGCAGGTCTGTGAGGGACTTGTCCCAGGGAGAATTTCACCTACTCACCTATAGGAATCAGGACTAAGAGTGCGTTGTCTTTCCTCCCTCCCTCCTGTTTCCTCCTCCCTTTGCAGGGCTGGGTGGACAGCCCAGGGCCTGGCTCTTGCTAAGCACTCCCCTAGCAGGAGCCAACAGTGGTACTTTGATGACAAAAAGTTAGCGTTGCCAAACACCCAGCTTTAGGAAGTGAGTAAATAAACTGGAATCTACACTGCTAGTAACAAGAACAACTAGTAACAAGGTCAACCGTTCTTACAAGGAAAGAGCTCTAATTAAACTGGGTGAAACCAACCAACCAACCAGGTAGTGTTTTGTGTTTTTGTACCAGGGGTTGAACCCAGGGGTGTTTGACCACTGAGCCACCTCCCCAGCTCTTTTTTGTATTTTCTTTAGAGACAGAGTCTCACTGAGTTGCTTAGGGCCTCGATAAATTGCTGAGGCTGGCCTTGAACTCATGATCCTCCTGCCTCAGCCTCCCAAGCTGCCCTTGTTAAACCTAAACTCTGGAGACGGAGGGATCTCCAAAGTAAAAGGTTTTATTGAGCTGTGGAAGATGTTAGAGCAAAGGACCAGGTCCTGGGACAAGTTCCCCAGATTTCCAGCAGCCAAACTAGGTAGCAACTGAAAAATATCTGTACTCCCTACAGCTAAGACTGTTTTTATAATGAACATTTGGGGAAGGAGAGCTTAGGTTATTTACATTGATCCTACATTGGCTCAGATAAGAGGGGAAGGATAATAAGTGTGCAAAAATTTGGGTAGGAGGTATGTTAGTAATCCTATTACTATATCAAAACACTTGAGGCAATCAACTTAAATCAACTTAAAAGAGAAAAGGTTTAGATGGAGTGTAGCTCAATGGTAAAATGCTTGCTTAGCATAAGCAAACCCTTGGTTCCATCTCCAGTGCCACAAAAGAAAAAATAAAAACAGAAAGGTTTATTTTGGCTCACAGTTTAGAGGTTTCCAGCCACAGTCCCTTGGTTCTGTTGCCTTTGGGGCTGTGGTGAGGCAGCACACCATGGTAGGGAGCTTATGGTGGAACAAGCGTCTCCCTTCCTGGAAACCAGGAAGCAAAGAGAGGAAGAGGAAGAGGCTGGGGTCCCAGTTCCCACTTCATGCCATGTCTCCATCTGCAACGACTGAATAATGCCCCAGTAGGCCCCGCCTCCTAATGGGTCCACCACCTCCCAATTAGTATCATGGGCTGGGACCAAGCTTTTAACACACAGGCCTCTGGGACATGTCTATCCAGACCATAGCAGGATGGTCCATGGGGAGGTGGGCTGTGGCTTCTGAACTGCTTGGGGTCGTAGGCAGCACAGGGTAGCAACACCTTGGGATTCTGGTGGAGTCTGAGTTAAGGTTTGAACCTACATCCGGGAATGTGAACTGTCCTTTTACTGTATTTAGTTCTGTTAATTAATTAACCTGCTCAGTGTTCAAGGTCTGGTCTCCAGTTGGGCAGTATTGGTAGGTGGAGCTAGTGGGTGGTCAGTGGGGTGTGTCCTTGAAAGGGATTGTGGGATCACCTCTTCTCTTGCCTCCAGGCCCTAAGGTGAGTGGTGTTGCCACAGGCCCAGGTCAACCTGGCCAACTGCTCATGGACTGAAATCTGTAATCATGAGCCAAAATAAACCTTCTCTGTGTATTAGTTGATTTATCTCATGTATTTGTTTTAGTGACAGAGAGCTGCCTGACACAGCCCTTCTCTAGGGGGACAGTGCCTGACAGCTAATGAGACCTGCAGGGCACAGGCCTGCTGGGACTGCTCTCACCCCTGTCCTGTGTGCTCCCCCTGCCGCCCCTCTTCTCCTGGGCATGCAGAGATCTGGCCTCTGGCTTCAGATGCACGTGCCCTGGGAGTCGCTGTGGCTGATGAACAGCAGGTGAAGCGAGCAGCGATTGGCAGTGAGACCTCCTGGTGGCCTTGTCTGTCTGCGCCTGCATACTGCCGTCCTCAGACCTGAGGCCTCTGCTGACCCTGGGTCACAGATCTCGGGGGACAGAGAATTGTATTCATGCCCATGAGACTGTGAGGCCATCCTGACATGCTGGGTGGCCACGTGCCTCCTAGGAGGGACAGTGTGTATGGACGGAACCGGGAGGAGACGCTGACCTTGTGGAGGCCAACCTGCTTTTTAGTGCAAACCCTCGTGTATCGTCGGTGTTTTCTGGAAAGTCATAGTATATATTGGCAATTCAAACAACCACCATTAAGTAACAAAACTTATTCAGGACTCTTATTCAAAACTTCATTTAACAACTTGTCAAGGGAGTGGGGGCTGTGGCTCAGCGATGGAGCCCTTGCCTAGGATGCCAAAGGCCCTGTGTTTCACGTAAAACCAAACCAAAAAACTACCTGCAAAAAAAAAAAAAAAAAAACCCAAAAGACAACAACAAAAAAGAAACACTTGTCAAAAAATAGCTTCAGCCCCTTTGGGGTTCACTGCAGAGAGGGAGAAACCAGAGCCAAAGAAGAAGAAGAAACAGGAGCAGGAGAAGAAGTCACGTATGTTTTTATTAAATATACTCTCTTGGCACAAATCTTTAAAATATATAAACATTATATATAAACAAAGTGTCTTCATGGCATCAAAATATAACTCCAGACCAGGACCAGCGAGCAGCAGGGAGGGGCTGACCTCAGAGGCTCCATTACCCAGCTGGCTGTGTACAGGGTCAGGGGCAGCCCTGCCCAGGCCCACTGAGACAGGAGCCACCAGGGCGGGGCACGCTGGGGCCAGCAGAGCCTGGGGACTCTCCTGCTCCTGGTATCTCCTGTCCAGCCTGTGGCCCAAAGGAGGGCACTGCCCAATTATCCATTTGGTGTCACATGCTTGGGATGGGCCCCCAGCCCCTGCACTCTCCTTGGCCCAGGACCTTGCCCACTCCCCAACTCCCTGGGAGAGGTGCTGGGCCCTGCCTGCCAAGTCTGGGGCTGGACAAGGTTGGGAAAGTGGGTGAGACGTCACTTAAGAGGACAGCCCCTCAAGGCCACCACAGACTACCTGGGCCTCTGAGGATGAGATTGGAGATGTGATGGGGGACGGCTGGTAGACACGTGCAGGGAAGGTCAGAGACGGGGTCCTCACACTCACAGGAACAGGAAAAATAACCAAGAGGACAGGAGGGAGGGAAGGGACGGAAGACACGATTGCAAACACACGAGGGACAAATGCGCCCGCTCAGATCCTGTGCAGGGGCGGCTGCTGAGCCAGCCGTGAGAACCCACTTCACCGTCACCCTGATCAGACCCTGATCACCGCAGACAGGGATTTGGTGTGAATACACTCAGGACTGAACAGATCAGAAACCAAAACCAAAACCAAACCAAACAAAACAACAACAACAAAAAAAAAAAAAAAAAAAAAAAAATCAAAAAACCCCATACGTTATTAGGAAAGGGGGGTTTCTGGGTCCCTGTGATACTTGGAGGGCCCCAGGGTGCTGTTCCATAAGACCAGCTGGCACAGGGCTCCCCGGGGTGCTCCCACTCCAGCAGCATCGAGGCCACCAGACACCTCCATGCTCTTTATGGGAATCATGGGCCTTAACTGCTGCGATTTCTAACCAAGTTCCTGCTCAAGTAGGGAGCCAGGGATCACCAATGTCACAACGGGGCAGATGGTCCGGGCCTGAGACCCGGCCTCCATTGGGGTGGCTGGTGTGGCAGGAGCTTTCAGGCCTAGAGGGGGTGGATGGGGTGCTATTGTCAGCAGATACTGCCAGGTTGGGGGTTAGACCCAAACCTGAGGTGGCTTTGTGTCATAGTCTGTGCCAAATCCTGTAGTGTGGGGACCCTCTTGCGATGGTTACACAGTAAGTAGGCAGCAATAATAAGAAAGATCTGCTGGGGGCCCCACATTGACCTTGGAGTCTAAGAAGGACATGATGCTCTGGGGACAAGGCTGTGGAGACAGAGGAATTGTCACTTGGGAAACAATGAAGGTGGACGGGTGGGGTGTGGTGGGGCAGGCGAGGGGCTGCATTTGTAACCACGGCTGAGCACCAGGCTTGTCCCATCCCGGACAGGGACCCATCCTGCTCAGTATGGAGGCCAGGCACAGAACACAGAGCTAGAGCGACACGGGACAGGCTCTGAGCTAGTGTGGACAGGTGTCACTGAATAAGCAGC